CTAGTTGTTTTTTACGGAACGGTAGCAAGACTTATTATTGATTATTTACTACTTTCATTGGGTTTTTATTTAGTTAATGAAAGCGACCCTTTGTGTTATTGAATAAGAGTGAAGAGAATTCAGCAAAAATAATCACTGATAAGATCATTTTCTTAAGCCATATATTCGTATTTGAATTTTTTGATAAATATAGGAGTATAAGAGGATAGAAGGAGACTTTAACGGCTGAGAAGTTAGATGAGAATAACTTTTCACGATTATTATTTAATTTCTATCATTACCTTTACGTTATTTTTTCCTAATCATCTCTCATATTTCTGACCCGTAAATAATCCTTATCTGCTTATTCTTGTCTAACCCCTTGATCGCTAAGCAAACTTTCGATATTTGAAATCTCAGATCACTTTATGGTGTAATCTCTCTCTATTCTCTTATACTCATATAATTACCTGACAACTATAATTACGAATGTACAGCTTGAGAAAATGATTTTATCAAAGTGAGTTTTTTTCACTGGATTTCCTTTACTTTCATTCTGTTTATTTATTTACTTGATTATACCACCCTTACTTTCTCAGTCTTTTTACAATCCCATTCGATTATTTTAAGGTGACTATTTGTAACAACATTCATTTTAATAAATAAATTCTGATTCGCAACCCCTAGCTTTATTCCTACTCCAATACCAGTTAAAATTTTCCACCGAGGTAGGCAGTGGTTCGGTGTACGTAATAAATGTCCCAGCTGCTTTAGCTGGGACAACCGAGTTTATATCTCATCATAGTGCCCCATAAGTAACCATAATATTGTTCACTCAGTGCTTCGAATGCACCTCTGGTTGAAAACCTGAAGCCTATCCCTAGACCATATTTCACAGTCATACAGACGGACCTCTGCGCAGTATGTTCGCCGTATGGATAAGGCCATATTAACTAACCCCGTGATTAGGTAGATTGATAAACACGAGTACCCTTTCTTGAAAAGAAGACTAACACCAAGAATCCAGAAACAAGACAATATACACTTTAAAGAAACTATGTAACCACTCATTCAGTTTGATCTGATTGTTTAAATGGAAAAATCAGACTTCCTACTACTATGAACACCAATATGTTTGTCACAGATTTCTGTAACTTTTGTAGTTGTGGGCACTGAATGTTTTAATTATTAATAAAGTGTCGTACTGAAGCTTTCCAAAATTTTGCCAAAACTTATGGAGATTTAAGAGTAAGACAAACACAACTGCCATAGTCTAACCAGGATTTCACTCTTAACGGAAAATTTAGATAATAATCCTTTGCAAAACCCTTGCCTAATCGTAACTTGCCCCACAGTTTATTCTTATAGTAAATCAATAATAAAGATATGATGGTAGTGTACTTTCCACTGCTAAAACACAACTTGACCAAGTGACTAAGGCAAATATTTCGCTGTTTCGATAAACATTTAATTAAGGGTGAATCAATGAAATACTTCAAAATGCATCCTCACTACTATATGAGACTACTCATTTCATGGATTAATAAAATTAGTCTGTACGAAACAACATAAAACAATCATCTCAAAAACTATGCACTAAATAACCAAATAGTAGTGTTTATAGTAGACTACTGTTCGACAGTGTAGGTACATAAAAGTAATGAATCCAAAAAATTAGGACATGAAACGTAGAAACTGAAGTAATAACATTATGATGATAATACTATATACACAGACAACTTTACTTAAATCAAAAATATTTTATCAAAACTAAAACAAAATAACGTCAAATGTGGTCAGCAGTAAATGGAAAACTATAGGATATAAAACTATTTCACTACATAAATGCAAAAAATACTATGAAACTTCATGGTAGTAGTAACAAACCAATTACTGATTAAATGAAATCAATAAAACAAACCGTTTCTAAAAACAGAATTGACGGGTGTTGTGTTTATGAATAACATGCACAAGGTTTGCATGAAACAATCAGCATACAAGAGAAAGGAGCATCACATGTTTCGTAAGACGACAAAACTGGTTTGAAATGAGTACTAACTAATTAATGTCTCACAAAAACCTCAAGGTACAATCATGCCGAATTTACTGCAGCCGGTTATAACCGAAAACATTCTCGTTTTTGATCAACCTCTTTGGTGAGCTAGCATATTAATATACTTCAGTAATGTCGTTGCTAGATATTAAAAGATTTTAGATGAGATATTCGTCTGTTAATGCTAAAGCTAAGTACTCATGCCGGTTAACTCACGATAATGCACCTGTATTCTTTCAATAGTCAAAATGGAAAGCATAATTAGTGTGATGGGTATTGTGTCACACCAGCATTCACAGGAGCATATGGATGTTGAAAAGACGAGATATAATTACTTAACACTCCCGCCTAGGTGGTTCACGGAGATATAACGTAAAAACGAATCATATTTTTAGACATCAAACCAAATGACTAGTGTTGTAAGAAATGAAGCTGAGGCTTTTATTGTAGAAATGTAAATGAACATAATTTTGGACTGAACTAAAAAGGGCTTTTTCTGCGCAAACTTTTCAAACGACGTCAAAAGCACAACAGAAAACTGTTTTTCATAATAAGTTCCTCTTCAAGCATCGTTATGTGAGGGACAAGTTCTTGAAGTATACTGAATAAAACACAGTACACAATAACGGATAGTTATTGTCATGGTTGTATGCCTACTCCACAAGTCCTCCTTTTGTCGTGTATGCAACAATTCATAAAAATCAGCTAGATTTACATTTAAAAAATTAAACCAGAAATTATACCTGGCCACTTGATGCAGTAGTCAGGTTTAATTACTACCCGACCCACCCGAGCTACACTGGCTGGAATGCTTGTTCATTGAGGTTCAACCACGTGAGGAAATGTGACTGGATTGTGATGAAATCAAGAGCACTGATTCTCGCAGTATAGGGAATAGCACTGTGAGGGGGACCAGGAGAAAAGTCATACTTTATCTACTGTCTATTGAAAACATAAACTTGGTACATATACGGCACCAAAACATGACACAAAATAATCATATGGAAGATAAAGAAATAGAAGCCAGGGCATTTTATTGATGACCTGGATAATCTGAAGTCAAAAGAGATTTACTCAAAAACTTCGTAACGTAATATTCTTATAATTTGCCTTACTAGTTATGCGGGGAATTAATAATTCTCTAAGCATCAAGATTATCAATGACTTCGGCTTTGAAGTATAGTTGACAGGTACTCTTGAGCCTCTCAATTTCCCAAAACTCAGTCAGGAAAACACATTAGGAAATGTGTGCCAATTGTCACAGATCGTCTTGACTCTACGATAGTAAATAATCCTAATAAACATTTCTTATTCTTATTATTTATTGCCAGAAATTGAAGACAATCCGTGATAACTAGTACACATTTCTTAATGTTTTTCTGACTTCTGAGAAATTGAGCGGCTCAAGAGTCCCAACCAAACAAACTTCAGAAGCGACGCCATCGATGATCATAAATTTCGTGAACTTAACGACAACACATAATCTTATTGTTTTTAATTTTATCGATTTAGTGACAACTCATCTAAAACACAGTCAAACGACTAAATCCTACATTCCTCAGAGGTGTCGGTTACAGGTACTAAAACCAGTTCAGCAAATGCAGACAGCACAAATACATATGTGAGATGAATCCGAATTCTTTCTCACTACACTCTCTACTCACAGTTATCATCAAATAGTACTAATCGAGCCCGGGCATTTGAAGCAAAGAACATAAATTAAAAATATGACCATACAAAATTTTATTGAGTTATATAGACCATGAAACTAATCTAACTAAAACTGATGCAATACTATGTAACTCTTAAGCTTTCCTATACGATCGAAATATTTATTTTTTTACTTTTTTATAGCGCAATGTGAAACCAATTCATACGGTCCCTGATGGTCCATCAACTTGTCTACGCAAATAAATGAAACTGAAGCTGAAACTAGCTAAAGGGCAAAACATTCAATTCAAACTTCAGCGGCAATCAATATTCAGTCTTATCACACGGTTTAACAGCTTGACAAGTTATGAAGGTTTAGAAAATATATCAGTAAAATACTGTTGACCTTGGTATGTTGATACTTTCATCAGACAATGTAACCCTAACGTGCGATTCTCTCTTGAAATAAGACTGGGGCTGTCTTGCTTAGAGAGGAGTCTGAACGTAAGAAATGGTTCCCACATAACTGACAGGTGTTCATATAGCCACCCAGAACGCGTAAAACATTTTGAAGAGAGAATCAGCTCAAAAGTTATTGATATGTAGCTGAAACCTGTCTAGATATATAAAAAAACTATACTACTCTGAATACGAGCAGAGATATTCAACAACATGAAAAACAAGTCCTAAGAAGTCAGCTAATCTACGGTTCACCTTTACGTACTAATGTAAAACACATCATTCTAATGTTTTGAGCAAGATGTTAGAGAAAACACTAGTAATGAAAATCAACTAGCATTACTTCCATTACTATAAATAATAGTCAATGATATAGGTTGATTTTGGAGCCACATAAAAGATGTAGCAATTTATCGCATAAGCTGACTCTACAAGATCTGTATTTCAAGAAAATTAAGTGATACAATTCGAAATCAACCTCAACCTACAGAGTCATCCTCTTTACTACTCCCCCAACTTATTATTCTCGTGCTTTGAGTCTTGGCTCTACAACATTTTTTGCACCTGTACTACCTCTTCATGATAGAAACTGCGCAAACGTAACAATGTATAGGCCAATCTAAGATCAATTTCAAGTAAACCATTTATGCAATTATTATGTATGTCTAAAAGACCACGGAGTGAAAAAAACAGGTGGAGGGACGAAACGATTTGATGACAGAAACTAAAGATTAAAAATGACTCCTTAAAATAATTACTATATGACAATCAACATTATTGCTATCCTACAAACGAGATGTTACAACATGTATAAAATATATAAATATGCTAGTTAGCAAATCACACACATTTAACTTACTGTTCACGTTTGAACTGTAACGAGTGTACTATTTCTGGATTCTTTTGTCGTATGTTCCACAAGTGTGCAACGTCATCACCACAAATGGACACCAATCCACCCTTGAAATGATTTGATAATAAGTAAAATCCCCATTTTAGAAAAATGAGAATTTAAATTACTGTTTTATAATATAATTTTAGGTTTTCTCTCACTTCCAACTAACGATAAACACATGGTAAGGGTAACTAACGTAACAGTATGATCGTAATTTAATGAACCAATACAGAAAGGGACACCACAAATTATTTCAAACCATGCATGTATGATGAAGTACACTTGGATGCAGGCTTGGACCTCAAGAACAAGTTCGGTGAGACCATAATTTGTGGACGACCTTTGAGCGACGCTGAAGTGACCTTGAGAGTGAACAACTACTAACTAAGACTAAATTTGGGTTATAAAGTACTTAAGATCCTCATTCACAGTCGATGGTAAGGGTTGAAAATCAGATCTAGGGTTTTCATCACGAACTGTAATGCCAAAACTCCATCTAGCTAAATGCATGGATGAAATCCGCGCCCAAACTCGTGACTCGTTATCTAACATCTGATTGGTTCCTCCATAAATTTTAGTCTCGCCACAAGTTCAATTTACTGTTTGTTGCGCATAACAATAAGAAACAACCGAGAAGGTACATTCTTTTTTAAACTGAAAGATGACTTATAGCTCAAGATGAGGACGATAGCTATGAAACTGCTACTAGTAAATCTTCTGTTTCCTAAACATATACTTTAATAACCTTAATGTTGCTAATGAGGAATATGGGATAAACTAAGGATCTTGAGATAGTATTTGGGTCACATTCAGCAACGTGGTTTATGGCATATACGTGGAAGTTGAATAAGAATTGAGAATGGGTGTTATCATTATATTTAAAAAGTGAAAACTTGTTTCCATAAAATCAAACATCCACGTAGTTCGAGAAATACAAACAAAACGCATATAATGCTGTGAGCTACGCAAGACTATAGTCTAGAATTTACAGCTCATGCTGTTACACGAAATTTCGAATCCCATACAGATTTTTCATGTAAAACGTCTCGTGACGGTAGGTCATCATATGTGCATTGAATGTGAGTGACTTACCTCGTTGACGAGAAAGAATATTTGAAGGACAGCAGATGCTGAGGGATGACAGATGCTACAGTCCACACCTGGTCTTCCGAAACTATCCCAAGCTTGTAATAATATGTGAACAACTTACATTCTGATGAACCCACACTTCGTTCCGATAGCAACAATTCGTTGAACGGGATCAAAAGCGATACAAGTTGGTTGGTGGGGAAAACCGTGCACAGCGATCTGAAAATAAATATCAATAGAAACGAGTATGAGGACATTATTTTCATTCAGAAAATAAACATCTACCTTTCCAACTTGGAAATGTTCACTCTTTAAATACTCATCGATTTCAATGGCTGACTTTGGTGACGAATTTGGCTGAGACGAGCTAATATTCCAAGAACGTATTCCATCTATAACTTTCAGTAACCTTTTTGACTTTGCTGCCATAAGGTCAAAATCTCAGTGGTCTATACTCCTAGACATCACTTAAACCTAAGCGCTGACGGAGACCCTTAGAATTGTACAACTAATTGATAGACTTAAACAAACTACATGAGTTCTAAGGATTTTGCTCTATTAAGAACATTCACATGGAGTAATCACTTTTAAGGCATTGATGAACCACCGTCTCTCTACAGAAACATAGAAATGAAATGTCATTTAAAAGTGAAGTTTCATTGTGTCGCAAAATGAAATAATATGAACAATTGTTAGATGAACGTGAGATATTAGTTTAACAGTCGGTAGAATGAAAAATATCTGAAATCCTATGTGTCGTGATTTCTTACTTGGTAATCCTTGTCCAAACATAACACCGTCGACCAATATATGATGAAAGAGACTATGCTATATTCACCGAGCCGTTGGATTGGAAACCATTTTACTGGTTAAAAAACTTTGTTGTTGTACGACAACATCAAACCGATAGTATTTCACTGATTGCGTTCATAACAGGTTAACTATCTTGAAGTCTAGCTAAAATAACGAAGTCATTAACATAGATCATATTCATAACTATATCGCATTAACACTGTCTTTCTTTGTTTGTTGACAATGAATGCGAGCGAACGGTTCACATCAAAACCAAAATTAAAATTTCAGCAAAAAAACCAAACAACCACTCAGATTCATGCACCCAAGAGGTATAAGTATTATTATCAGGCTTTGTTGATTCTGTAATACATAATGGGCTTGGTTTAATCTGCTTCATAGTTCCACTTCGATGACCGCTGTTTCAACTGATAGGATGTAACTAAATATACTATGTCTACGTTAATAATGTTATTTCACGTCAACTACCACTAGTTATTCTCCTTTTCCCACCGCTACTGAATCTAGTTGACTGTTCAGTAGTGTCATGAGCTTTTATAATCGTAATTAATTCATATGCCGTTACAAAAGTTATACATGGCTTTTTAGTCATTAGGCAAAACATTATTGTTGTGACTGAGTTAGATCCAGAGCCAAATCTTGCCTCAACTGGTTAAAAGATCGTCCCCCTCAAATCACCTGAGTTATCGCAAGTCATCCGTATCGTGAGTAAAACTTTAAAGAACCATTATTCTTTTTAGGTCCTTTAAATTATACCCTTCATCTTGTTCAGAGCTGGTCATCAGTCAGTTTGCGGAATCCGCTTCTGCTCAGACTTTAGTGAACAATTTATTTTGTCCTAATGGTAACAGTCAAGTTAGAGAGCAGATAGACTTTTCAAGATATCGCGGTTTCCTTCAACTTGAAATTTCTCGGCAATTTGGCAGTATCTTGATAGTCTCATAGTAATCAATAATCTCAGTGCAGGCTGTATGTTTTCCCATCTGTTGGCACCAAGTGAACTGTTAAAATATTTTAGTCCAATTCATTTCCCCAAAGGTCCATATATTTATACGAATGACATATTACGCTTAAAAAAATTGGTTTAATTCACTCAAAATTCTCAAAGACCTTCTTGCAAACGATTGAAGTAATTGGCGAAATTGACATTTCCCCTTTATGAAGTCTGTCATGCTTTTTATTTCCTCCGAATTTTTCTTCACTTCCTCTCGTTTTCAAATGTGACGTCACACTCGTGCTGGCTGTATCATGTTCATTTGTTTGCATTATACAAAAGGCCGCTTCAAACGTCGGGTTCGTAACAACCTTAAAATATAATTTCCGGCATAATTACTAGAACCTTACTAGGTTATTCCAGTTTGTAAGCACACTTTGATAGTTTAAACAAGGTCTGACCAATTGGCAAATTTAAAGTTTTCCACAATCGTATTCATTTGTAAGTGACCTCCTAAATAAATGGCAAATGTCGGGCCTCATATTTCGGGTAGAAGCCACACTTCATGATCGAGCACAAACCCAGCTTCCCTCGACCTGATCATTGGAAAATTCGGCTATCTTGTCTGCACATGGAGCATGAGTGATTATTCGGCGTTCTTTGTCTATTACCTTGACAAGGCTTGACAAGCTCTTCAACGACCAGTTATTTGGTATCCGATGAGTGAACAGTAAGCATGAAGTATCGCTTGGCTGGGGTTCTGTGACACTTCGCTGACCATACAATAATGTCTATTCAGATTCAAAAACCGTTTGAGTCGTTACCAATTGTGTCGTTGGTAGTCGCGCAACGGTGGTTATTTAAAAATCCATTAGAATCGCCCTGGTGATGGAAGGCCGAGAAATCGAAAGAAAGTGACGAACACCAATAGGGCGAAAACAAGTACTGACAAATCCAAGAATTTCAGGTTTCTGACATGATTAAGAATGATGTACAGCTTTTAAGAATATAAGATGGTTTGTGGTGATAATAGTAAAGAATGATATAACTTTTAAACATTGAAATATATGGCAGCGAAAACTGATTGACATTTTTTGTACAAACAGCACAAATAACGAATTTATTAGAAACAATGATACTAGAGTGGTAACACAATTGGTCACAATTGATCATACTCCCATTGGCTGGAAGCAGTATGTCTGCCATTGTCATTGATGGTTTTTCTTCTATAAACGTTTTCAAAAAGTATATCCTTAATTCACAGCACCACAGAAAGTGCAGAAGTACAACCGAAGACAAAAATATTTATGATTTCAAGTCACTAATTCATTGGTCATTCGGTAGTAACATGTAAAAAACTGATGATTGTTGCCACAGTCACTAAGAGTCGCACAGAACAAGAATAGATGGCACGATGAAGTTGTCTAAACAGGATAGTTAACTCTGGGAGCCGCATTTTAATTCTATGAATGAATTGATGAAAGTCGATAACACAATTGACCAAGGAGTGTCACCGTGGAGTCATGTCAGTCATACTAATACAAAACGCTTAGTAAGTAATGATGAACGATGTATATTCAGCTGGCTTAAATTTGCAAGATAATAACCTAAAAATGATAACGTAATTAAAGCTTATATAGTAGTAATTCATTTTCATTGCTCATTAACTATAGAAGGTACATAATGGACTCTGAACACCCCAGCACTGGTAAATGTAAATCCGAGTAACAGTTTCTTTAATATTACGACTGATAAATTTATGAACCAACGAATAACATAAAAATAAAAACACTTTCAAGTTTAGATTAGCTGATTTTCAATTCGTATAGTTGACATCGGTAGGATTTGAAAATATAACTAATAATACAATGAACGTTATGTATCAGACCCAAGCCTGATTATTCACACTTACTACAATCCATATTTTCATTACATTTCAAAGCTTATTATTGTTGGAACGTGGAGCTATTCCGATTTGAAATCAAAATATCATGAATGAAGACAAAATTCACTAGTCTCCATTTGAAATAAATAACAGAATAACAAATTAACTCTAAACTGATTTTTGATTGGATAAATAAAAAACACTATACTCCAATACATGTGGCTAATAAGTTTATTCAATTACTTTAAGCAAACCTCCATCTCATTAAGTGGTCAATAATGATTTTTTGGACTGAAACGTTCATTAAAAGTAATTAATCGAGCAAGTTAACATCTTGTCAATGCTTATTGCTTCACTACGTATGCATTAGTGCTATAAAATTACGCTGAAACGTTAAGGTACTGATTTCGTGTAAGAACGTACGTGCAATATGTCTGATGTTCATAACTCCAGATTGTTCTTTGAAATCAATTTTGACTTTCATAGCGTCATTCTTAATTATTATTGCACAAATATTTATACTAATATCCGGTTTCACTCTGTATACTATTACATAAATCTAAATGTATTCATCCGAATGCTTTAAAGGATTTTTATTTTATTTTTTCAATTGCTGGTTTCCTTCTCAGGTTGATATTCATTACATAATTATTATTCTTATCATGGATGAACCTTTTCACTAGGTGTTCACTTCTTTTCTTTCTCTTCTTTCCCTCTGAATAAATATTATTCTTAAGATTAAGAAGTTTGTAATTAAAACAATAACTTGTGTTACACTTAAATTAACTTCTCAGATTCCTTTCATCTTCACTATGCATATAGGGCTGATACTTATTGATATTTTATTATTCTTTTCACTTAATTGTGACTTTCATAGCATCACTCTAAACTATAACTGCACAAAAATTTATTCTAGCGTCATATCTTACTACAATGATAAATTATTTTTTGTTACTAATTTAACGATACACACATAGTCGTTTATTCTTGTTCTGTGTTCATAAACACACCTATTAGACTGTTTGCGTATTTCACGTCTCCTTTATTTTTATTCCCGTATTTTCTCCCTTTTCCTTCTTTAAATTCAATTCAATATTCTTCTCAATTACAAAGACCCGATTTATTATTATTAATATTCTACTATTATTATTCTAAATTTTTTTTTAATATGGCAAGTATAATGCTAACATTATTGAAAATTGTTTATTATTGCATTTTTTGAAGAAACCCGAAATGGTTTCTTCACAACACTTATGTACCCATAAGATGTTTGGGAATAATAATAATAATGATAATCGATGGTGATTCCGCAATTGAAGGATAAGTTACCTGGTTATGCCACTTCTATGTGTATCTACGAATTCAGCTGCTCCTGTGGAGAAAGCTATATTGGGCGCACTACCAGGCAACTGAACCAACGAGTTAGTGAACACCTCCCATCGTGGTTCGGAAAAGGTTACGTCAAAACAATACGCAGCTCGGTTCTATCACACTTGATCGATAGCGGTCATATAGTAGACAGAACCAAGTCGTTCAAAGTTATATATCGGATACCCACTAGTTTTCCTTATGGTGTTCGATCTCGTCTCTTACACATAGCAGAAGCTATAGGAATCCGAACCAACAAGCCAAGTCTTTGTGTTCAGAAGAAATTTGTAACTCCCTTATCTCTCCCTTGGCCTTAATTAATAAATGAATTTATTTATTATTCCTTTTCTAACTTTCTCTTCGTTTATTATTTTTCTTCACACCCTCCTACCACTTTATTTTCTCTCAACTATACGTTTCATGGTCCAATTATCTGAACATTTCTTATTACGTCATCTTATAATTTTATAATTGTTATCGCAGTTTCTATATTTTT